TTGTGTTTATAAGAGAGTAACATCTTAATTAACTATTGAGCTAAACTGACTAAGTCTCAATTCTGCTACATCTTGACTCTTATTGTTAAGAAGGCTTGGGTTTAGTTTTAGGGAAAGATTTTTGAACTTGATTGATTCACAATCAAAGAATTCATATTTGAATTCAAGAATTTTTAAAGTTCAACCCAATTCTCCCCTCCTAGGTAAGGCCATCGATCCCAATATCTATAACAATACGTACATGATAGCTTTATTTGTTTTAAATTTGAGGCTTTTACAAATTTTGATTTATGAGATTTGCTATTATGAGAATATGCATACCCTATTACTCTCTTGTCCACTGTGTCCCTGATCTTTCCAAACTAATACATGATGCCAAATTAACAGACAATAGATGAAGGTCATCCCTCTCCAACACCTCATATTATCAGCATTCTCACTGTCTACTTTGGCTTTTGTCCCTGCCTTCAAATCAATCTAATGATCCGGTATCACCATTGGAGTCATGCTCATTACTCAAGTCTAGTTCCTACCTCAAGTGAAGGTTAGGACTTAAGATCATTCCTACGTTTATGCCTCTCTGTTAATAGAAAATCTTGGATGAATGCCCTCTCTATTGTAATGGAACTGTGACAAAAGAATTGGGTGTTTTGATTTTGCAAAGGAAAAGAAAATATGAAGACCAATGAACATTTTTTTAAGGAGAGAATTTAATGTTCTAATGGAATCGTAAAAGACCAATGAGTGTTTTAATGGAAATGTAATGGATATAATTAAAGTGAATGCAACGAATAAGGTGTAAAAGGTGGTGGGAAAAGAGAAAAGTTTTTTCTTTTTTTTTTTTGGAGGGGGGGGGGGAGATTGAAGTCTATGGAATTAAGTGTAAGTTGTAATAGGAGTGGAAATAATTATGACTTAGTATTTCTTGTTTTTTAAAGGCCACATGTGCATTGTATGAGAATGGAGAGGAGTACATGTGAGGCGAGGCCTATGGTTAGAGGACCCTTGGCCTCAACACATTCCTCTTTCTGTTTTATATATGGCAATAGAAGAATTTGATTTTGTGAAATGTTGTTGGATTTCCTGAGATGTTTAGTTTTTTGTTTTCTTCTTTTATATATTCATGTCAAGCTTTATATCTTTTTTGAGCTCTAAATACATTATGAATCATGATATTATTTGAAGATTGTTAATGAGGTTTTTTTTTTAATATTTTGATTTATTATTATTTTTTCATTACCATAAACCAAAAATAAGTTATATAGCTTGGCCCCCAAGAGAAAATTTATGACTCCACCACTGCACATATAGGAGACCATGCTTGTAAGAAGAAGCGATCTATTGCAAACTGAAGGGGCTAAAAGGGCTCTTGGTAGAGCAAAAGGGACATGAATTAAAGTAGTATAAGAAATGAATTAAGAACACATAATTTTACAATAAATATATGGAACTATACAAAATGGAATGGCCAAACAAGATTCATGTAGTCAACCACATATAGTTGGGACAAGGCTTAAATGATAATGTTTTTCATTGAATTTGAGTTAAAGTAGTAAGAAATGATTTAATCTTTAGGCTCAGTTTGGAAAGGGTGCAAATACATACAAAGCCTTGTATTTAATTTATATTGTTAAACCTGTATTTGCATTGTATATATTTGTATTTGCATTCCTTCCAAACTGGGCCTTAGGTGTTATTTATGCTATATTGAGTTAAGGTAACACTAGATCTGCACCCTCATTGTGTTGCATTTTTGAACAATGTCTTTTTCTACCCATTTCTATGTTTTATTTGGTACTAGCAAGGATTATGCATGTGATTTGTTAAAATCAAACATAAACAATAGAAACATGTAAGAGCAAATAATTGTTTTATATAATAATTAATAATCATTTATATTTTATATACTACTTTTAATAATTTTTTTACAATACAAAAATAACAATAATTAATTTTAGATAGGGTTGTCTATCAAACTTACTGATGACAATTTTCCCCATTTCCCCAATCCCCGTGGGGATCTGCCCCGAATGGGGTGGGGATGGGAATGATTTCCCCCCGCGGGGACGAAGATGGGGAAATTTTCATCCTACTTGGCGGTGACAGTGTGGGAAAGGGGAGAGCATTCCCTACCTCGCGGGGACCCTGATCCTCACCGCATGGGATCCCTGCTAATATATGTATATATACGCATACGTTTATATGTATATATGTACACATACGTCTATATGTTAATATTTTTAAAAATATGTTTGAATCTTTTCTAATAGGATCGTAAATTTTATTTACTTTATTTTTAATTTTTAAATAAAATAAAAAAAACATAAACATAATGATTGACATTATAAAGAATCACGTGAAGTGGGGACCCCCATGGAGACGAGGATAGGGATAACTTTGCCCCCATTAGCGAGGATGGGGACGGGGACATGGATGGGGAATTTTGTGGGGACGGGGATGGGGAGAGGCTCCTCGTCTCTACCCTACCTCGTTGCCATTCCGAATTAAATTAATGAAATTGACCAACTCGATTTCTATTATTTCTAATCGGCTTTGGTTCAATAAATTCCCAACCTAGCTGTGTTGGATCACTTTCGCTTTGGCCATTTGTAAACTGACTAAAATCGACCGACTAAACCTTTTGAACTGACTGACTAAACCTTTTTGTAATATGGGAAAGTGGGAAAATTCCAATGTTTCTTAAGCTAAANATATAATAATTAATAATCATTTATATTTTATATACTACTTTTAATAATTTTTTTACAATACAAAAATAACAATAATTAATTTTAGATAGGGTTGTTTATCAAACATAGGGATGGCAATTTCCCCATAGGATCCCTGCTAATATATATGTATATATACACATACGTTTATGTATGTATATATGTACACATATGTTTATATGTTAATATTTTAAAAAATATGGTTGAATCTTTTCTAATAGGATTGTAAATTTTAATTTAATTTTATTTTTAAATAAAAATAAAAACATAATGGTTGACATTATAAAGAATCACGGGGAGTAGGGATCCCCGTGGAGATGGGGATAGGGATAACTTTGTCCCCATTGGCAGGGATGGGGATGATGACATGGATGGGGATTTTCACAGGGACGTGGATGGGGAGAGGATCCTCATTCCTGCCCCACCCTGTTGCCATTCCTAATAAAAACTAATGAAATTGACCAAACTGATTTCTAGTATTTCCAATCGGCTTTGGTTCAACAATTTCCCAACACGATTGGGTTGGATCAATTTTGCTTTGGCCATTTGTAAATTAACTAAAATCGAATGACCCGACCATAGATATATATTAATATTTTATATTTTAAATATATCTTTAATACGGGAAAGTGAAAAAATTCCAATATTTCTTAGGCTAAAATATTTTATATCATAAATTTAATTTTTAAGGTTAAATCTTTTGAACTGATCGACTAACCCAAAAATTGACCCAAACCGATATTACTTGAGTGACCAACTCGATTTGGTTAGCCAAACAATAGTTTAATCTCCAATAATTATTAAAAATTTATAGCGAAAATACAATAAATTAAATTTAAAAATCTAAATAACAATAGTTTAAACTCCAATAGTTTTTGAAAATTTTCTATTAAATAACAAAACAAAAATAGATCAATACATAATTATTGAAAATATATTTATCACAAAAAATAATAAATTATTACTGAAATACAATAAATATTATTTTAGTATATATAGATTAAGTTTTTAAAATTATTATTAATAAACAATAATTTTTTTGAAAGTTATTTTTTAGAATTATTAATTGGTATAAATGAAATAAATTATTTACAATATTATTTATTTATTGAAATAATAATCCATAAAATTATAGTACTATTAATACATAATTTTGTTATTTTAAATATTTAAAATCTAGTTATGTTAAATATTTCATTATTTAAAATATTTGGTTATTTAACTAAATATTTAAAATCTTAATCTATTTGTTGTAATTGAAATTTGTTCAGTAGCTATTTAAGATATATTATTAATTGATTTAAAATATTAATTTTAATATTTTGTTATTTAAGATATTTAGTTATTGAAATATTTAAATAATATTTCATTTTTAATGTTAGATTTTATTATTTGAATAACATTTAGATTGAATAATCCAAAGAATCATAATTTATATTGTTTGTACATAATTTTGTGATGAATTTTGTAAAAATATATAATTATTAATAATATGAATATTATTAAATAAATTATAATTATTTTTTTATCTTTTCAATAAATATTTTAAAATTATTATATAGTTTTTTAGAATATGTAAATAATTCTTAATTTTTTAATTGAAACTTTCTTTAGATAGATGTAGATAAAAAGTGGGAGAGAAGATAAATAAGAATTAGAGATAATTTAGGAGAGAAACTCTCTACTAAATTAGAGATAACTTAGGAGAAAGTTGGAGATAGTGGGGGAGGTTGTTTAGGAAAAATTTTAGGATATTAGATTATTTAGGTTATTGGAATGTATGTGTGGGGTGGGGTGGGGTGGGGAGAGAGAGAAATTAGAAAGATTTTTTTAGGGAAAGTAGAATTTATAACTAATTGGTAGTTTAAAAAATGGCAGATTAAAAAATAAAAAAGATCAAAAATAGGAATTAAAAATTAAAACATTCATTGAGTTAAGCTTGTGAAGTCTGAACAACCGGATTGGAAAATGATATAATTGATTTTCTTTTTCTTACCGGTTTTCATATCAATATCCATAGTATCTGATTGATCCAATTAGTGGGTTTTAGAGTCCACTTATTCTTGATTCCTAATTGGATCCATTAGTCTTATCTTTTGGGCTGTGTTTGGTTTGAAAGAAAAGATGGGAACAAATTGTTTAGGTTATAGGTTTCCCTATCTTTTCCTTTCTCTTGGTTCCTTTTCTTTTCAACCAAACACAGCCTTGAGGAAGAACTATAACTGAGCAATACGAACCTTTAGATACAGAGATAGTGGCGTCCTATCTAATCTTTCATGGAGGGACTACGGTATAAAGTTACAACCAGAAACATGAGAACATCGACGGAGAGAAAGGCAAGATCAGTCTCAGACAATCTTCGTAACTGTTCTTAATGTTCCACATCTGTCTTCTCCATTCCCTAACACTCTCAATCTCTCTCCGTTACGCCGTGGGATAACAGTCTTATCATGCGCACTTGATCCTTGTATTGCTATTATTTTCAAATGGCGAACTTGAAATCTGATTCTCCCGTCTGTCGTCGAATCGTCCTTGCCTTTTTGGATTTCCTCAAATCAGGTTCGTTCTCTTGCATCATCAACTAATCCATACTTTTTTCTATGTTTCGATTTCTCTGTTGCTTTGATGAATTAATCACTGTATTTGTCCTTCTTTGCTTCTGTTTGTTAAATTTTCAGTTTTTAATATAAGTGGTGCTATGCTGGCTTGTGAATTTGGAGATTTTTTTTTGTGCGACTGATATTGGTTGAGTTTTATTATCTTTTTAGGTTCTAGGCGTCAGCTTGTACAATGCGTTTAGAAAAAAAAAGGTTTTCTTTTCTGCATAGAATTGATTATAGGGGGTAGTTGACTGTCCTTAGCTGTATACTTGGCTTCTGATAGTGATATAGTTTCTATTGGGAAAGCTTATATATATATATATATATATTGTTTTCTTAACTTAATTGGGTTGGCTTAGAAGGATCAAGTGCATAATATCATAATATTTAATTTTTCAAATAACATTTATAATGATATGATTGAGCAAGAGTGTGAGGCAGTCAAGAAAAACATGTCCAAAAAACGAATGTGGCAGAAAAGAAATGCCTATGCTGTTATGGATGAGTAGAAAAACTAGAAAGGATAGGATCAGAAATGAAGTCATTTGATGGAACCTAGGAGTAGCTCTAGTGGGTGATACAGTGAGAGAAAATAGACTAAGATGGCTTGTTCACGTGCATAGAAGACCACCTACAACACCTGTAAGAAGAAGTGACTTATTACAAGTTGGGTCTTTGAAGGAGCTGTAGCAGTGGAAGGGTACTACTGTTTTGGGTCTTTGGTTGCACTTGTTATGTCCACATTCGCAGTTCTAAGAGACATAAGTTTAAACCCAAGACCCAGAAGTGTATCTTTCTTGATTATGCCTTCACACAGAAAGGGTACTATTGTTTTGATCCTATTAATGGCACTCGGTTTGTTTCCATGGATGCCACTTTGCAGAGTTAGTTCCTTTTTATAATCGTCCTTTTGAGGGGGAGAGATCTCTTGAGTTGTTTTCTTCATCTCTTTGGTTGCCAACTCTAGTTGAGTCTTGTGTTGAGCCTTCAACAGTTACACCCTCATTCCTGTGGAGGGATCCTCTCCTTTGAGGTCTTCCATTCCTGCTCCTCCCCTTCCTCCTACTAGTCCTCTAGTTTTTCCCACTCATCCTATTCTCCAAAGGTGGTACAATGGCAAAGGTGAAGGCAAACACAGCTTGATCCCACACCTCCAGTTGAGTCTTAGGCGCTTTCCATTATTACTAAAGAGAGGACATGCCCATCATCTCTTCCACTAGCACCTTCGCTTCTAGGCCTTGACCTACCCATTGCTTTGAGAAAAGGTAGAGAAAATGTACAACTCATTGTATTTCCAAACAGTTTTCCTACTGTTTGTTGTCCCCATCCTACTATGCCTTTCTAGCCTCCATTTCCTCTCAACCCATTCCAAAGTCCGTTTCAGAAGCCTTCCACACCAGAATGGAGGGATGCTATGAGGATTGAAATGGAAGCCCTTCATAAAAAAATACCTAGGATATTGTTGACTTGCCAAATGGGAAGGAACCTGTTGGGTGCAAGTGAATTTTCACTATCAAGTACCATGCATATGGATCAATTGAGAGGTATAAGGCTTGTCTTGTTGCTAAGCGATATATCCAGGTATATGTGATAGATTACATTGAGACCTTTTCTTCAGTTGCTAAAATGACTTCGGTGAGAGTTCTTTTATCCTTAGTAGCAAGTTATGATTGGCCTTTGTATCAGTTTGATGTTAAGAATGCATTTCTGAATGGTGATTCCATTGAAGAGGTATATATGTCCCTTCCTCCTGTTATATATGGCAAGGAAATGCAATAAGGTGTGCAGATTGAAGAAATCACTTTATGGCCTGAAACTGGTGTTTTAAAAGCGCAAGGGCCAATTTGCGCCTGAGGCACAAGGCACAAGGTGAGGCGTGCGCCTTTTTAAGAAAGTCGCAAAATTACAAAAAAAACTAAAAGATAAAAAAAAGTCAGAAAATTCCAAAAAATGCAAAATATTAAAAAATATTAAACATAAGGTTAATAAAAATATAAACTTAAATTTTAAAATAAATTATTTAAAAAACCTATTATCTAAAATTAAAATACATAAACATAACATGTAAAGTGTATTCAAATGAAAATTTAAAACTAATAAGCTTTGACACCATTTATGTTTGTTTCCATTTGTCTAAGATCTATTGATTGAATATGTATATTTGCTGTTAGAACTAATAAAAAATATTGACTTGTGAGACTTGAACCTGCATTACTTGTATGGAAACAAGAAGAATTCCCACCAGATCACAACTAATACACTTATTAAAATATGTATGATATGCTGTATATTTAAATAGATGACGTCATTGGTCAGTGGATCTACCCGGTGGTCGGACCATTGGACCTGACTCGGTGTGAGTGACCATTTTGGTTTTTATATGTTCCAAGCCTGAAAACATTGGCATCCACAGGTCATTTTTTGATTAATGAACTGAATTATCTTACCATTTCAAACAAAAAAAAATATGCCCACCTTTTTTGTTATCTTGAAATATCTAATATTATATTTGATCGTTGTTGGCATTTCAAAGCCATACTGGTTATGTAATCAATGGGTTACTTCAGTCAACCAAATATAGCTAGTTACGTTTCTGTATGTGTGTATAGACCAAAAGAAATCAATGAAGTTCTTTTGAGTACTTAATTGTTTGGTTAATTTTTTATATGTTAATCAGAAAGAGAAGGAAAAATAATTTCTTGCTAAATAATAATAATTATTATTATTATATTCATCCAATGGTTATCCTATGTAAAAATTATTGCTGACTTTGCTGTTCAAGGTGTTTTGTCAATGTATATTAGGAGGCGATTAAGTCTTCGTAGTGTTTCATGATTTCACCCAGCCCATTTCTATACTGCTTAATGCGAAAGTTTTATTGTTTTGGTACTGATAGGAAAAGCTTCCAAGGTTTTGTCATTCAATTCTTGTTTTGATGCTTGTTATTTCCTCTAGGACAGTTGAACCTGCTCCTGGTGTTGATCTTGAAGGTCTTGAGGTTGTTAGAGAGTGCTTGGAAGAGGCTTTTAAGCTCAATCCATCTTCCACTGATGACCAGATACAACCTGGTTTGTTGGTTAACTTATTCAATTCAATGGATGAAAATAAGCACCTTGAGTTTAAATTGGATCAGGATCATTCTGCAATTCCACTTGACACACCTAGTACATCCTCAGCTCCCAATGCAGCAGATGTACATATTCCGGAAGCATCAAAACCACTGGTCCTTTTTTCCACACCTCTTTTTTCAGTCTGCTATGACCCATATTTGTCACATTGTCTGCTATAATCTATGTTCCAAGTTTGTTGTATCTTTGATTGCTTTTGTTATTTTGGCATCAAGCATACTGTCTATAAATATTTCTAATGGGATTACTTATTCTAATGATATTTACCTATAAACATTTCTTTTATTTGTAGAATTTATACTGATATTTACGTACTACTGTTCAATGGGGAATTGAACCATAACTGCTTTTACTGGATAAATATTGTTTCGAGTTGTCTTCTGATTCTACATGTGTTTGTTTTTTTGATAATTAACAAAAATTTTGTTGAATGTGAACAGATTATGTACAACCATTTTGTTAGGCTGGGAAGCTCCACCTAACCCTTTGCAAATACAAAGTTTGTCTTCCCCACAAATAATACAGATTGTCCTAACCCATATTTATGAATGTTTACAAGTTGGCCTGAAACATGTTCTCTCCCTGCTCACCCCTTGTTTAGCAAAACCATCACCCACTGCATTAGCTGGTTTTTGCACCCATGTAGAAGAGACAAGTAATTGTCTCACCAGCCAGCTTATTTCCTTGACTTCTTGCTATACTCTCACATTTCCTTGCTGTTGTCAATCAACCAACTAACTACCACCTTAGAATCCCTTTCAACTATAATATCATTCAAGCCCATCTATCTTGCCAGTCTCAAACCATGTAAACTGCTAACAACCCAGCTCATATAGAGTTCCTACAACCAATAGCACATGAAAAAAAACCAATATCGAGCCAATTACATCTCTAAAATCCCTCCCATCCCTGGTGAGCCAGGATTTCCAAGGCTACTCCTGTTAAAATTTAATTTTATACGTTCCCAAGTTTCCTTTGTGATGGTTCCCACTGCATTTGGTACACTCTCCTTTTAGATGAAGGACTAGCTATCACACTCCAACATCTAAGGATGTCATCCACAAAAAAAGGGCTGAATATCTCTAAGGTTTTTAATCAATGCACCACTTTAACTTTGATGATTTCAAACACTACTTCCATGGGGCAGCTCTTCCCATTGAAGGTCCCATCATTTTTTTTTGATCAATAACAGAAATCAATTTATTAATGGACAATAAAATTACCAGAGAAGAAAGCCTTATGCTTGCCTTTCTCCTAAAAAAATGGACAATAAAATTACAACAATTCGGGAAGAGGTAAAGAGGCTTAACTCTCCCGAAGAAGAAAAAAGAAAAGGAGATTACAATACAGCCCAAAACATCTGTTCCCTTTCCACCCCTTGTTTCGCCAATGTATCTGCAAAAGCATTTTCAGTCCTCTTCACCCATTGAAACTTAACCTCCAACCCCCTATTTATCCATTTAGCCTCTCTTTTCTCATTTGCATGTTTCTACAGTCCATTGTCCTTCTGTAACCAGCTTTGAGTTTCCTTCAACAATTAGTCTATGAATACTCATCTCCTTTGTCTTTCTTAAACCTTCCATTAAGGCACATATCTCAACTCTAAGAGAGTTACCATTCCCAATGGGGCCTGAAAACAAAGCAATCACCATTTCTTGTGGTGGCGATCATTCCACCCTGATGTAATCTTTTCTTTTTGATGCTTAATAAAATTTTTCTTCATTGATAAAAAAAAGAAACAAAGCAATCACCTTTCCATTCTCATCTCTGAACACCCCACCAACACCCGAGGGCCTAGGATTACCTTTACTACTGCCATCAAAATTTAATTTTACACACCTTGGGCCTGGTGGAGACCATAAGGGAGAGGCAACTGATGAAAAAGGAGTAGAATTTGCCACTTCTAGCCAGTTATTCAACAGCATATCTCTAGAGATATCAACAAGCATATCTAAAGACTTCAGCCAATGCACCACCCTAACCATTATTACCTCAATGATACCTTCTTTGTTCCTTTCCTTATCAGAGAAGGTCCTAGAGTTCCTTTCTTCCCATATAGTCCAACAAATGGCAGCCCTCACACACCTCCACATAACCCTACCCCTTTTCTTAGGTCATCTAAGGAAAGAAGTGGCAAACAAGTTTCGTATATCTGGTGGAGGGGTCCACTTGGAACCAAATAAAGAAACAAACCATTCCCATATATCAGAAACAAAAGGATAGGAAATTAGTAAGTGGTAGGAGCTTTCACCATTAGCCTTGCAGAGGATGCACCAATTTGGGGACAAGCACCAATTTGGCCTTTTCTTCTGGAGTAAATCACATGTATTACATCTTTCCAGGAATGCCTCCCAACAAAAAGCTCCAATTCTTGGAGGGATTGGCTCACCCCATATTTCCTTGACTGGGAAAGATTGAATAGAATTGTTGGTCTATTGTACCAAGGACTTAAAGAAAGAAGCACAAGAGAAAGTCCCAGAGGGGGATAAAGTCCAAATTGTACAGCCCCTTTTTGAAGGGTCCAAAACCACCCCATTCAAAATCTGAATTAAGTCCACAACAGTTGCCAATTCTAACTCCCTAAGGCCTCTCCTAAGACCCAAATCCCAATCATACCCAAAATTTGACTCAGAAGGGATAAAAAAATCAGACACACACTTCCCTTTGAAACGGGAGAGGGAGAATAAAGAGGGAAATTGGATCATATGTTCTCATTGCTAGGAAAAAGGTCTGTCAAGATAACCGATACCATTTCCCTACCTTCTGTCCTTCATGTTCCTAGACTGAGCACTAATCTTTTATTCGTTAGTAGCTTGACAAAGAATTTGAATTGTTTAGTGATATTTTCTCCTGGTCATTGTGTTCTGCAGGATCTGGAATCAAAGAGGACGATTGGGAGTGGTTGTGAGGTGAGTGGAATCTATCTTCTTGATGCGCTTCCTAGTCATCAGAGTCATCATGTCAGTGGGAACATTGAGTCCAAGTTAGTGGGTCAGATTATGCTTTGGCATAATTGGTTAAGGCATTTGTCTTTTGCTTCTTTGTGTTTTTTGTTTCCAAAATTGTTCGAGTCTATCAGTTTGTCCAGCTTGGGTGGTTATCAGTATTTTCTTCTGTTTATGGATGATTATTCTCGATACTCTTGGATATATTTGATGAGATCCCGTGATGAGGTACTGTCTTTGGTTTAACAGTTCCATCGGATGGTGTTGATGCAGTTTGGGGTATGAGTGGAAGTGTTTAGATTAGATAATGCTAGAGAATACTTTGAAAAAAACTGGCATCATACCTATTGGAGCATGGAGTAGTCCATCAGAGTAGTATACATACACTCCACAACAGAATGGTGTAGCAAAAAGGAAGAACAAATATATCGTGGAAGTAGCAAGAAGCATGATGTTGAGCTCTACAGTTCCAATTCGTTTTTGGGGTGATGTAGTTCTTACAACAGTTTTTTTGATTAATTGGGTGCCTTCTCGTGCTTTTGGATATAGCATTCCGTTCAACCTTCTTTTTCCTGAGGGGAAGATATTCCATATTCCTCTAAGGGTTTTTGGATGTGTATGCTTTATCCATGTTTTTGGTCCTCTCCGTTTAAAGTTGGACCCTAAGGTGACGAAGTGTGTCTTCCTTGGGTATGCAGGAAATTCGAAGCGGTATTGTTGTTATGATCCAGTCTCCGGGAGTCGGTATGTTACTATGTATGCCACCTTTTTTGAGTCCACACCTTTTTTCTCGAGTGGTTTTTCTCAGGGAGAGTGTTTTGGGGAAGGAAGTGAGCAATCTATACCACTTCTTGCTCCAGCTCTTTTGTCTACTTTAGTGTCTGACCCACCTACTCCACCCACTTTGCCACCTCCATTGCGTCCTGCCTCTCAGTGTTTTACACAACAACATCTATAGTAGCACATGGAGGTTGATTCCACAGTAGAGGAACCCATGTCACTCCCTATCAGCTCATTAGAGATTCTAGGTTCGATTAGTACAGATCCAGGTATGCCCCTTGTTTCCTCTGTTGGTTTAGTTCCTATTGGTACCACTATCCATGCTCTTAACACCATTGCAGATGACCTAGATCTCCCTATTGCACTTCGAAAAGGGAAGAGGAAGTGTACTGTTTATTGCATCTCACACTATCTTTTCTACAATGGATTATTTCCTTCCTACCGAGCCTTCCTTTCTTCCCTTGACTCTGTGTCTATACCTAGGAGTGTGAGACTCTCTCTAAATCAGAGTGGAAGACAACTATGGAAGAGGAAATGAAAGCATTGATTAAAAATCAGGCATGGGAGATTATGGATTTACCTGATGGCAAGGAGACAGTTGGATGTAGATAGGTTTATACAATGAAGTACAAGGCTAACAGAATTATAGAAAGATACAAGGCGAGGCTGGTTGGAAAAGGGTATACTTTGACTTATGACATAGATTACTTGGAGACTTTTGCACCAGTGGCAAGGATGAGCTTAGTCCGGATTCTTCTATCACTTGCAGCTACATACTCCTGGCCACTCTTCCAACTTGATGTGAAGAATGCTTTTTTTAATGGGGACTTGCAAGAGGAGGTGTGCATGGATCTTCTAGCTGTTTTTTATAGTGATGTGGATAAAGGAAAAGTATGTAGATTGAAGAAGTCTTTATATGGTTTGAAGCAATCACCTAGAGTTTGGTTTGACAGGTTTAGAAGTGCATTTGTTGTATTTGGCTATACTCAAACTCAATTTGAACATACTCTTTTTGTGAAAAGGAGTGGAGGAAGGAAATATGATATGGAGGAAGGATGGAGAGGAGAGACAAGGGGGAGGGATCAGTGGAGAGGAGGGAAGGAAAGGAGGGCAGAGTTGGAGGGGAATATGTAGAGAGGACAGTGATAGAGGAATCTAAGAAAGAGGACATGATGGCGGAATTTGTGGGGAAGCTGGGATGTAGGTTGGAAGACTTGAATGTGTTGAAAGAGGGCCTATAGAAGAGGAAGAAGGATATCAGAACAAAAAAGAGAAAATTGAGTGAAGTTGAGAGATTGAAAAGAGATGTGGAAGGTGACAAGAAGTTCAGGGTAAAAGGATATAGAAGGAAAGGGGGAAGTAGTGGTTAG